GCAGACATCTGATTGGGAGCAAACAGTGACTGGAGGATGTAAAAATGACATGGTAGCACCGTAATTTCCCCCCAACACTTTATCCAGATGAAAAGCTACCCAGCGTGATTCTGAGCTTTCTTCATGGTAAACAGTCAAGCAACATTCTCTGACAAAGCCCTCCAGTTCTGGTGAACGTGGTTGCTTTCACAGGACGATTAAACCAGCCCTCCCATTTAATTTCTCTGATGCCTACTCTCAATTCTTAGTAACCCATCATTATCAGATGACTGCTAATTATAGAGCTGACATAAATGCCAGCTTAACTGCCATGACTTGTACTTTACTTTGCCAGCCTGATATGAAGTCCTGTCTACTTTGCTATACAATTCTGTGAAAACTAAAATACACCAAATAAGCCAGCCAGTTATGCAATAAGTAATTGCTTCATATGATGCCAGTGTTCTTTCTACAGTTACGGGAATTATGTTTATGTCCATAGTTAAAACAAATATTGGGCTGCATCCAAGCATCCCACTAAAATTAAGAGGATGTATAGGGTTATGCGAAACTTGATATGCAATTAATTTCAGTGTGATTATCTGAAATAAAACTAAAACAGGACCTCAATTATCGTGACCAACAGAACCAATCTTTAATCCTATGTAAAAAATACTAAACAACAAACTCAACTTAAACACACATTGGACTAGATTCAAAAGCCAGTGATCATGGAAGAGTGATTAGCCAAATTGTTAACGATCTTGCATTAACATGTCTCCTAAAGACATTTCAAGTCCAACAGCAATAACTATAGAAAGAAAGAAAAAACAGACTTCACAACATGTTTTTCTTTCCAAGAGGCAACTGGACTTTCTGGTTTTTCTTTGAAGAGGTTTCGCTTCTCATCCAAGCAGCTTCTTCAGCTCTGACTGGAAAAGTCCAGTTGGCTCTTGGGGAAAAAAAAGCACCTTTGGGGCAGACTTCACAATCATTTCTACCTGGAGGTGGAAAGATCAGTACCCAGTCGCAGTGACGCAAACTTCACCTTCTTAGCGCAGTTACGTATCCTGCTACGCTAGAAGCGTAAGGTGAAAAAACAAAAACAACCGCGTTGGGACAATGGGAATAACAACAACAACAACAATCGCTATCAAGAAGTGAGGCGCATCTGCTCAAGAACGCCGCGGTTTTTTAAAACGGTGGTTTCCCACCCGCGGGTGTCTCTCACCATCCCACCAAAGCTTCAAAAGGGGAAAACATTCTGTCCACCGAGTCCAAAAAGCCCCTGAGGAAAAGCCGCCGCCCGTCTGTCCGTCCCCCCCACCCCTCCTGCACGTTATACAGCCCGCTGCTACCCAAACGGAGCCCTCACCTCGAAAAGTTCCTTCCAGACCCTGCGAGCTCCTCCAGTCTCCTCCCTCGTTCCCGCGCGCGGTTCAGGCTTCGCTGGCTCCTCCCCCGGATGTTTGAGCCGTTCCGGGCCGTCGCTACTAACGCTTGCTTGGTCTCCGGGGTTACCAGGCTCGGAACGCAGGGGCGGCTGGCCTACCTGGTAAGTGACGTCGGGATGTATCTCCCTCACAGTGAGGCGGGCGGGTGGGAGGCTTAGGTGATACGCCGGAAAATGTGGGCCATTTGCCTCCCTCTCTCCCTTGGTGTCCACTCGGTTTCCGTTAACCTCTTAGTGCACCCCCCTCCATGAGGTTTAGGGTCTTGACCTGCCGTAAAAAAAAGTGTGGCAGCATTTTGAAAACTGCCCCACGCATTTATTTTTGCGTGGGGTTTCCTCTTCCTTCCCTGCAGCTGACGAAGTAGATCCTAATCCAGGATATGTTGGATGTTTAAAGATGTCTTGAAGATCCGGAGTAGGAGATATCCCTCGGGAGGGCGTATTTACATCTTGGCTCAGGCCACAATGTAAATTACAGCTTCTGCACTGAACGGCGACTGGGTTTTTTTTTCAGGAGTGTACAAGCTCGCGTTTTTGAAGAAGTCTATATTGTAACTATCTAGATAAAAATGGGATTGGAGCCGGCCATTCAATATAAGATGGGCAGCTATATACATGTTTTATACATGTTTTAAACAATAAAATAAATGGATTTATACAGTGTAATAAAAATACACTTGGGTAGTTCATATTCATTCACTGTTATATGGAAAGTACCTTAGTTTAATAAACTACAGATTACATACATAGCTTTTACTGATGTGTAACAAAGTAACTATGAGATGCTCTTGCTTACAACTATTTTTGCTTCTTTCGACACATTCTTCACACCAGCCTATATACTGCCAGCTAACTTTATTATCAGCGTATGAACACCTTTTTTTTCTTACACATTTTCTAACTTTTTATTGAGATACTTAACACTTTTGTTTTGTTGGTTATGTATAATTTGCAATCATTCTGTTTTCTTTGTCAGACAAAACTGTTTTAAGTACTTAATTCCTTGATTTTAAGATTCAGACTTCGTTGCATCATAAATTTAACATTCACTGAGTTTATTCGGGTTTTCATTCATCAGTTATACTGAAAACCACATGTAGATTCATATCCCCAACTAACATCTCTAATGTCAGCACAACATTCCTTATATATAATTATGTACGGTAAAACCACCAAGGAAGCATCATAAATTCATGTCTTACCCCATACTCGATGTACAAACATCCATTAAACTTTGTTTATTCTCTTGCATGCTTTGTTTCCATCAGATGCATTATTTCTATCTATATCCTGCCTTTATTATTTTTACAAATAACTCAAAGTTGCAAACATATCCAATACATTTTCCTCACAACTCCATGAGGTGGATTGGGCTGAAAGTGACTGTCCCAAACTCACTCAGCTGACTTTCATGACTAACATGGGACTAGAATTTATGGTCTCCAGTTTCCAGCCTGATGCCTTAACCACTGTGAAGCTTATGTTATTTGAAACTGGCTGTTATACATTTCAATAATCAACTATTAATTCCACATTTACACAAAGTTTTATAATTGGACCTACTTCTTATATGTTTTACCCAAATCAAGAAAGATAAACTTTCTTATTTTAATAAATATCTCAATGAGATATTGAAGAACATTGTAGAATATTTTAAAAAATTATGTTACAAAAGAAAAATCTCATACAACTAAGAAAGCAAGTTGACTTCTCTCTTCCCTATCCTACAATTCTGGCTGCATCTGATGTTCCCATCACTTCTGCAATGTTACAATTCTAACACACTTTCATATCTGGCTTCTTTATCACTGCTGCTTCTCTTCATCTGTGCATAAAACATAAGCTTCACTTGTTGGCTTCTATGTAGATTGGTCTGCCAGTGCCTATTTTTTCTTTTTAGGAATTGTCCTGTGGAAAGTATTTTATGGTCAAAAAAAGTGAATATTTGTAGCTCAGGATTGAAATGAGGGTCTTTTGTGCTTTCTGAATTTGATGGGTTTTTTGCAGACATTTCATTACCCAGATTAGGTAATATCATAAGAAATCATCATGATGATGTTACCTAGTATTTTATTTTAATAATAACAATAATAACAATAACAACAGCAATAATAATAATAATAATAATCATCATCATCTTGGAAACAAACCAGTTAATGTACAGCGCAGCTGTAATAGTCACTAATGAACTAGCCATTAAAATAAATGTACCAAGACTCACAGCAGAAAAAGCATCAAAGCCAAAGTGGAAAATCCGTTTAGAACAAAAAATCAAAAAATTAAGGACAGATGCTAGTAACTTA